AGACTAGGTTCCCAGTGTGAATTTTTCTTTTTCCCACACTGTTCATTGCATACCCTCTATACCTAAGGCAAAGCTTACATCCCTTAATTCACATTTCTTCACAATATCCTCAAATACAGCTACTCTCTTATGGAGTATTCAGTATCTTATGGGAAATTGGCAGTATTAACAAAAGTGAGCATGTCCTCATTGAATCTTAGATCTAACCTCCTTAAAGGATTCTGAATAATTTTATTTATAAAACATTGAATTAGAGTACAGAGCCAAAGGAATTAAAAAATTATTACCATAAATGAACCTTTCAATAAAAGAGAAAAAGATGATACATTACCCACATGTGCAATGTCAAGTAATTGCAAATTTAGGGATCATACAAACATTCTGCGTAGAGATATTTTCCATGACTGAGGTAAATCAATTAAAACAGGGATAATATCAAAGTCATACTAATTGTTATAAAGGAGTATACATCACCAATGTTTTTTTCTCTGACAACTCAGTACCTGTGGCTCAGAGCCTGGCATGTTACGTGAAGTTACCCTCACTTCACATTAGACTCAAAGTGCCAGTGGTCAACTTTACTACTGTAGGGACAATATTCAAGAGGTTTCATGGACACTTCATTTTTCAAGAAATCTCTAAGGGAAGGAGAAAAAGAACTCTATGAATGAGTACTAAAAATATACCAACCCATTTAAAAATTATAGTCTTATTTAGCAATCAATCTAAACCTGCACTCAAGGCTGGAAAGATTGCTCAGCAGTTAAGAGCACGGGCTGCTCTTCCAGAGGTCCTGAGTTCAATCCCCAGCAACCACATGGTGGCTCACAACCATCTATAATGAGATCTGATGCCATCTTCTGGCATGCAGGCATACATGCAGGTAGAATACTGTATACATAATAAATAAACCTGCACTCAGTCCTCAAATGCCTTAGGCAGGATATTCAAACTAGACATCTCTCTAGAGGTGAGACAGAATATTGGCCTAAGGTCGTAACTGCAGTTCAGAAGTGTTATGATCCTTAGGTTCTTAGATACCCAGTAAGAAACCTAAATTAACACTATTTGAGGAAGATGAAAAGCGTGGTCCCTTGCAATATTGACTTTACTCTCAGCTCTCATAAGACATGAATGTCCCTAGCCTAATGTGGCTTATCCAACAGTAAAATAGAGGGAAAGCAATCTTATTGGGAAAGAACTCACACCAGAGATGATAAAGAGCACATGACCAGGTCCTGTTCTTAACTATGGGAGAACTCAGGGGGAACTATGAAGCTGAGCTATGTGCTTAGTTTTTTCGTTTTGTTTTGTTTTCTGGATGGTGTCTGGGAATAATGAGCAAGATATAATAGTTGAATTTAACTCTTCACAATCAGAAAGATGTCACTATATGGAAATAAGGTGAGGACCCACTCACAGGATGCCCCTGAAAAGAGTGGTAGACCAAAAACATCTATCCTAAGTCACTGACACAATAAAACCAAATGTCCTGAGGCTGGAAATGGACAAGTAGGTGTAGCTAAAGTTTTCCTGCCTGGCCCACAGTCAGGACAAATCTCTCTCACCCGCCAGTCCCACAGCTGCTCAGACCCAACCAAGTAAACACAGAGACTTTTATTGCTTACAAACTGTATGGCCGTACCAGGCTTCTTGCTAACTGTTCTTATATCTTAAATTAATTCATTCTATAAATCTATACCTTGCCATGTGGCTCGTGGTTTACTGGCATCTTCATATGCTGTTTGTCATGGCGGCAGCTGGCAGCGTCTCTGACTCTGCCTTCCACTTCCCAGAATTCTTCTCCTCCTTGTCCCGCCTATACTTCTTCCTGCCTGACTACTGGCCAATCAGTGTTTTATTTACTAACCAATCAGAGCAACACATTTGACATACAGAACATCCCACAGCAAGTAGGGAGGGAGGGGTCTTTACAGGGATAGGAGGGAAGTAAGAGAGGGATGGAGGAGAGTACCCAGGATGCGTTATATATGTGTATGAAATTGTGAAAGAAATAATTCAAAAGGAAGGAAGGAAGGAAGGAAGAAAAAGAAAATGAAAAACAACGCCTTATCCCTATTTCTATATCTGTGAGGGTTGAGAAATCAGTCTTAACTGAGGCATGTGTACACTTCTACTCACATGAGTGAAAAGGGTGAGGACTATGTTTATGGCAGGTGGGGTCAGAAAAGTAGAAGAAATCTCAGGATCCTCAGAATCCACTATGTTGAGCCAGCATATAGAATATGGGATACTCCCCATTTCTGCCTTGAAAATCCCAGCAAGGAGACTGATAGAATGTAATGAGCAGGCCTCAATTCTGCAAGGGAGAATTCTTTTTCAAATTCCAAAGACCCTAAGTGGGAAAGAACAGGACTGTCCCCAATCAGGGAAACTCAGAGTCCTGCTATCCAGCCTGAGAAACAAAAGCTGTGGATTCATGTAAGGCTTGGCAAAAGTGTCTGCTGTGACCTGGGAAGGTATGGGTTTCCTGTGGAGGCTGGAGGGCTTCAATAAGTACAGTGAAAAATTACTTGGGTCTGCTAGACCACTCCAGAATATAAGGAGGACATCAAAAGTCTTAACTCTATTTTCAGCCCTGTGAGCCAGAGAGAAATCTGTTAAGCTTTATGTCATATCTAAACTTTCACTCCAAGGATTAAGACATGGGAGGATAATGTTTGCTGCTGGCAAATTTGAATCAATAGAGGAAAGGATCCTAGGACAAGCAGAAACTGTTCCTGATTGTGATGTACCAGACAGCGTTGCAATCTTGTTACTCTCCTATCTCTGGGAAAGCAGAGAAGTTTATCTGAAATCTGAGAAGAAAGTTCCAATTTGGGAGGGACAAACAATATGGGGCAAGGCATACAAAATGAGGGGGTTTAGGAGGATTTGAGAAATGGATGGAGGGATAGTGGGCAAAATGGGGCATTTGCTGCAGTGGGATTCAGAGGCTCAAACAAGGAACTCTGTGTGCCATAGACTGAAGAGTGTGAAGGTCTGAGGAAGCTTGAATACGATGAGGAATTACAGATTCCCTTCCATATTGAACTGACAGTGGGGTTACTTAGCAACCTGGCCTTGCTGTCAATCTTGAGAGCCAGCCCCTGACCGGATGTGATCTACTCTCACTTCCTGTTGGAAGAAGAAGAACTGGGTTGTTGGTGCCCTTGGCAGAGGTGCTGGATGCCTTCTCGTAGGCCAGCTGCCATTCCAAAAGGAGCCTTCACAGTCAAGGTAAGGAACCTGAATATGTTCTAAGATGATACCCCTCAGATAAGCAAAGAGGCTGCAGTCAATTCTACCTTTATGTCATCGGGCTTGTTCTGAGAAAGCCGTGGGTTGCAATGTATCTTGGAAGGTCTCGGAACAGAGAGGGGACCTTGATCTTAGAAAGGAACTCTTACACTGTGGTGGTATCCTATACGACGATTAAAGCCAAACTTTGGACCCTAAGTGATAAAGAATGCTCATTCTAAACAATTGTGCTTCCACACTCGGCCCCGTTGCATTGTGCTCTAGAAGACCCCATGAAGATTAGGAAAGTAAACATGGAACAACCTGACTAAATCCTCAGTGGTTAGGGATTCTGTAGCATTCCCTCACCCCCAAAAAGAAAAAGAAAGAAAAAACAAAAACAACGACAGTAAAAAGAACATTTTTTAAAATAAAAAAAAAGAAAGAAAGAAAACTAAAATACCCCAAATACCATGTATTTAGACAGCAAAGGAGCATGTGGGAGGGATGCAGAGGCAGGAAGAGATATCTTCAAGAAGCAAGGCCATCCTGAATTGTGTAGTGATACAATGTTTTGAGGGCAAGGAGCAGAACAAAGAAAACACAGAAGGATTTAATCCTGTATTTAAGAACCACATGCAATTTTAGATATAAGAGGTTTATGAGAAAAAAAAGTCTCTGAAGAAAAAGGAGGCAGGGAAAATGGGACAATGGCCAATGAATATAATCAAACTACTCGTGTGTGTGTGTGTGTGTGTGTGTGTGTGTGTGTGTGTGTGTGTGTGCGCGCGCGCGTGAGTAAATTCCATGATGATTCACATGAATTAGTATAATCAAAATATACAAAAAAGAAAGAAAAGTATTAGTTAAGAATGTTTAAGCATAGTATTATGTTGCAAGGGCTGGAAACAAAATGAAATATTGAAAGCAGTATAGGACTTATTAAGGCTTGTGAGGAATCTGATAGAATAAACTGTTGTCTCATTCTTTTTCCAGAGGTAGTGGAATAGGGTCACTTAGGCCGTGGTTTGCGGTGCCTAACAGAAGTAAAGTGTGTGACAATGAACTATGATGAGGGGACCACTTTCAGAAAAAAGCGGCCCATTTAGAGGCCCAGATTTGTTGTAAGCTGTGAAATGCTGGCATTGTTAGCCGCCATCAGTGCTCTCAAGGCATTTGCACCTTCAGAAAGCAAAGAGGCGAGTTGCCAGTTTCAACACTTCTTTCATCTCTTTATTTTAGCCGAAAGGGTGAATATCCTCAGTCTAAAAAGTTTAGCATAGAGTGGGTGGTGCCAAGATGTTCTGGGAACTTAAGCAAGGAACCTGAAGGAAGGTTGAAGACCCCAGAGGGCCCACAGCAGAAAGGGCTTTGCTAATTCTCCGCACTCTGTGTACTCAGTGCAGTTGTACTGAAGCTCCCTGAAGCTTTCTCCCTCAGGATTACAAGGAACCTTTGAGCTGTCAAATGAACATGTCAGAGGGGAGTAGCCGTAAGCTAAAAAGAGTTGATATAATCCTAGAACTGAGGGTGCTCAAACACTAGTAGATAGGGAGCCTTGTTGAACCTCAGCAGTGCCTGCCGGTTACTCAGGAGACCAGGAGCCCTGTGGGTTTGGGGAAAGTTAAAGGAATATTGATAAAAGGCAATATATTCAAAACATAATTAAGGTGCTTATATTATCTCATTTTCTCTGTCCAGATATCCAAGGCAACTGCTCTGTAAGCTACTCTTTCCTGCTGTCACTGATTGTATCCATCATGCCCAGGGGACAAAAGAGTAAGGCCCGGGCTCGTGAGAAACGCCGCCAGACCAAAACAGGGTCCAAAGAGCTCCAGGATACTCAGACCATGACACCAGAGAAAAGAGAGTCATCCTCTTCCTCTGCTCATGCCTCTGGAGATGCGGCCGCAAGTGCCTCTTCCGATATCTTTTCCAAGTTGTTTCAAGAATTGCCTGATGCCACCACTTTCAGTTTCTGCATTGCCCACAGCTCTGATAAAAGTGCCAAGAGCCAACAGAAGAAAACTGCGAACTCCTCTAGGGCCCAGCACTCCAGTAAGAGCCCACAGAAGGATCTTCTAACAAGGAAGACAGAGATGCTGATGGAGTACATGCTCACCAAGTACAAACAGAAAGAGCCCCTGTTAAGAGAAGAAATGCTAAATGCGGTCAACAAACGTTTCAAGGAGCAGTTCCCTGAGATCCTCAAGAAAGCTTCCAACCGCTTGGATCTGGTTTTTGGCCTAGAGTTGAAAGAAGTCCAGCCCAATGGTCAATCCTATGAGCTTGTCAGCAAGCTAGATTTCCAGGATGATGGAAGTAGGAGCAGTGAGCTGGGTCTTCCCAACAGGGGCATTCTGATCCCTCTCCTAGGTGTGATCTACTTAAATGGCTACTGTGCCCCAGAGGAGGAGGTCTGGCACTTCCTAAATAAGTTAGGAATTCATGATGGGGTCCCACACCTCATCTTTGGGGATATCAGAAAGCTCATCACTGAAGATCTAGTGCAGGAAAAGTACCTGGAATACCATCAGGTTCCTGACAGTGATCCTCCATGCTATCAGTTCCTGTGGGGTCCAAAAGCCTATGCTGAAACCAGCCAGGTAAAGGTGATGGAGTTTTTGGTCAATATCAGTGAAACTGGCTCCTCTACCTACCCATCCAATTATGAATCAGCTTTGATGGAAGAAGATAGAGCTCAGGCTGAAGGTGCAACCCAGAAAAGCACTACATGCAAGACTAAGAGACGTTCTAAAACCAAGTCCAGCCTTCCTACCTGCTAGTGAGATCTAAGGTAGTCTCCACTACATGACTAAAAGAATCTACTAATCTTTCCTTTTGTGATGTTCAAATTAGTTATTGACAAAGCTGTTTAGTGTATTTTATCATAATGTTCACTTGAACTCAGAAGTTAAAAAGAATACCATAGATCATGCCTTCATTGCTGTTTACCAAGTTGAGGGTTGAAAGTTTGATTTGATGTGAAATGTGATTTGAAATTTCATAGTCAACTTTGGTGATGTACCATAAGGTAATATGGAATTAGAATCTAAATGTGCCTGAGAGTAGGAGAGAAAAGAAGATAGAGAAAAAATAATAGACTTTCAGTTCATGTTTTGTTTTGCTCCACACTTTCTTTTTTAAAGCATGTAAGAGATGCATACCTACTTTGCTTATGATATTAAAGGATGTGTAAGAAACTAAATCACAGTAAATTGGATTTATTGCTCAAGGTTTGTATTTTACCAAAACACTTAATTGAACATCTGTTCTTGGAAAGTCTTAATGGAGATGTTAAGAAAATAAGACCCAATACCTGCCCTTATAATGATAGGTTCTAGAAGAAGCTCTTATTATGGATGAAAGTCAAATGTGGTCTACTTCCTAAAGAAGAAACAGGGGAATGTGTGCTTGAATAGAAAATATTTTTTTTCATTTTTCATTGCTTTGTGACAGAATGTTTTTTGTTTTCTCTTTGTGTTTGGGGCCCCCAGAACTGTATATTTTATGGCATCTCCTAGGGTAAACATGAATAGAAATAATCTCAGGTGGATACTACCAATGAAACAGCTCAAAATACATTAATGAGTGCCAACCTTTAGTAAGTACATACAGGACAAGTCAGATACCAAAGCCACACATTCAACATGAATCTTACTGGTCTTAAAAAAAAAGGACTCTAATAAATTCACTTCTCCTTAGTGGAGAGGTTGAGCATTACAGAATATCCTAATGTCCCCAAGTTCACAGGGATAGTAAATAAGAGTTCATACTGGACTCCTGATCTAGAGTCTATGCTACTTCATTCATAAGCTGAAAACCAGAACTGAAGGTCTTTTTTCAGTACTCCAACACACATCTTGATGATTAATGTAGAGAAGGAATGTGTGCCCAAATTATGGGACTAGAATCCATAGAGCAAAAAAAGAGAGTCCCAAAATAGAACAGAGGGTCTGCAGGATGGCTTAGCACCTTCTATCATGCCTGAGAACCTAGGCTTTATCTCTAGGATCCATGTGGTAGAAGAAGAACAGACTATCACACATTGTCTTTTGACCTCCATAAACATGCCATCGTATGTGCCTCTTGCTCCCCCAAATAAATGTGTTTTAATAAATAATGGAATCAGATTAGTGAAAGTAAAATGGTCATTTAACAGCAGTGTGAATATTTACATTTGCAATGTTATCTAATGTTGAGTGATTAGGTACTTCAGGTCAGGATGGTGAATACTTTGTTGTACAGCAACTGCCTAGCTGACATGTAGCCTTGTTTCATTCAACTTCCACCATGGACATCTTATTTACTCTAAAAAGTAAGTCTCTTGTGGCAGATGTTAATGTAGTTCTACCTATAAAGAGGATGATCATTTTAGCATGTTTTTGTTAAGTATCCTGAATCTGTTGTCCATCTCACATCACTCCTGGCACAGGAACCTATTCTCAAGAAGGTATACCAAGGTGAACTCACTCTAGACTTAAAAGCGCTGGACATTTCCTAGAACTATTCAATCTCAGAGACAAAGTCAAAAAATACTGAGATATGAACACACCTATAGAAGAACTGAAGGTATCAAAACATCAGAATATAAGGTACATAATGGAGAATACTACCCATCTATTTTCTGACACAGTCCCAAACACAGTTGCCAGTCTGATAAACCTTGGTTTGCATACTCTTTTAAGGTTTAAAAGACATAAGGGCCTTGGGGACACCTTGCTGATGTGAAGTGAGAGAGGAAGGCCAGGCTTTGATAAAAATTAGCTAATGAACTGCAGTGAGGTTTTCACAAGACCCAAGAAAACAGGGATGTTCAACTAGGAACTTAAGGGAAAGCAGATACTAAAAGGAACTTTAGAAAAATCTCACTTCCATACCCCTAGAAGGAAAGGAATGGGATTGCCTGGTTGAATTTATCCCTTCTTTGTGGGTGAGGTGGTCTCAAGGGTAGTATCTCCTTGGATTGATGACATTGGGCTTCATATAGAAGAGATGGGATATTTATTGTCAAGCAGGAGTCAACACAGTGATACAAAGCATGAATGGAGGGACTGAGACATGGTTATGGTGACAGTTCTTTTCAAGGCATCACAGAGGCAAAGTGTGTGCTATCTCATGTCAACAGAGGCCAGATTTCCTGATTGTACCAGGATCCTGCCAACTCCTTACACATAACAGGACAACACAGACGCCTATCAGTTCCCACTGTAGATGAACAGGATAGTGCAAGGCTTGATTCTAGGACTGTATCCCACAGCAACTGAGGTGGGAATATTGGGACTGCTAGTAGTTTGGACTGACACTTATTTAGTATTACCATCGTAAGGCTCCAATCTGTGTGTCATAGTTTTCATTCTAGTGATAACACTGACAGATGTGTAACCAGAAAATATCCATTTCACTTCCTTCTACTGGATCTCAGGGAGTCACAGGCCTCATATATAGGACATATCTTACAGTTCAAATGGAGAGGAATGGAGCTAGAGAGATTGCTCAACTGGTAAATTGTGGCACAAACAATAGCCCCAGAGTTCAACCCTAGCATGTGTATTAAAGAAGCTAAGTGTGTCAACTTGTTCTTGTAATAAAGAGTGCTTGGGTGCAGAAGAAAAAAGGTTTCCTGGGGCATTCTGACCAGCCATCTAGTCAAATTGGTGAGGTCAAGGTTCAGTGAGAGACCCTGTTCCAAAACATAAGCTGGAGAGCAACTGAAAAAGACATCCCACATAGACTTCTGCCCTCCATATGCATTTACACAAATGCAGGAACACATACAGCCTACCGTTCTGTCAAAAGGCAAATCAAGCAATCTGGATGGGGACTGAGATGCCCATTTATCTTTGATTACAGATGACAGAGAAATGTCCTACCTTGCCTTTCATTATCACACTGAAATGGCAGGAATTTATGTCAGGTGAGGCTCTCTCTCTTTCCTTTATATAATACCTAAGGGAAGAAAATCAGGAAATAACATTAGTTGGAAATGGTAGCCAAGAGACAGTATAAGAGATCCAACGTGCCAGTCACTGTACTAAGTACTGTCCATTCCTTGTACACCTATAGCACCATCTAGAGAAGACAAAGCTTGCCAAAACCATCTTACACAAGTGGAACCTGAAGGGCAGAGGATTTGATAATGTTCACACTTGACACAGTTGGTAAGTGACAGAGATGGGACATCATCCAAGGTTAAGATAATCTAAAGCCACAATATTTTACTTCTAGCCTGAGACTTACTTGACATCCTCAATTATTTTTTCCTAATCACAAGTAAATGTTCTTATGTCAAAATATTGGATGCAAGATCAAGAGAAATATGATCACCAAGTAATTCATAATGTAGGCCCCAATATATTGTGCACCCTAATAAACTTATCTGGGGTCAGAGAACAGAACAGCCACTAGACAGACATAGAGGCCAGAAAATGGTGGCACACACACCTTTAATCCTATTACTTGGGAGGCAGAGATCCGTCCGGATCTCTGTGAGTTCAAAGCCACATTGGAAATAGCCAGGTATGGCGACACACACCTTTAATCCCAGGAAGTGAGCCTTTAATCCCAGGAAGTGAGGGCAGAAAGCAGAAAGGTATATAGGGCGTGAGGACCAGAAACTAGAGTCCTTTTTAGATTTTTAAGCTTTTAGCAGCAGTTCAGCTTAGATCCATTCAGATGAGGACTCAGAGGCTTTCAGTCTGAGGAAACGAAACCAGCTGAGGAGTTGGCAAGGAGAGGCTGGATGTGGCTTGTTCTGTTTCTCTGATCTTTCAGCATTCACTCCAATACCTGGCTCCGGGTTTGTTTTTATTAATAAGACCTTTTCACATGTGTGTAACATAGGCCAGGATGCCTTAGAACTCACTTTGTAACCAAGACTGACCCCTGACTCTTGGAAATCTTCAAGCCTTTCTTTCCCAAAGTTGAGGTTGCAGCTGTGAACCAAACAAAACTCCTGGTTAACTGTGAAGTATGAAGAAGCCAAACAAGAATACATTTGTTGGTGACTGGATTATATATGTCTGTAATCTCACATAACTTCAAAAGATCAAGTTTTCAAAAGCTAATCTGTCTCAACCATATAGTTTTTTTTTTTTAAATTAACTTTTGAGAGGAAACCTACTAATCAGGTTTGGCTGACTAAGGATTTATTTATATGGCATTTTTCTTTCTATTTGATTCTGTATATTTTCTATTTTCATTTCTTCTTTTTTTCCTTTGGCATTTTGGTGCTGACAGCATGCTGCTTCATAGGTAAGTCCTATGTAGAACTCATGTAGCAAGGGCTTGGTTTGAACTCTCCATCCTCCAGGCCTTATAAGCATGAGCTACCTTGCTCATGGTGTTTTGGGAAATTTTATTTATTTTACTTTAAGTTTTTACATTTATTCATTTGGGGGGGGTGTTAGTTATTTTGCGGCGCTCTTACCCTGCGAGGAAGTGTCACGAAACATGACAGAATCTGCTAATAGGAGTTTTATTAAGATGAAAGGGACAGAGAGTGCCCAGGCCTGTGGAAGACACGTGTGTAGAGAAGAAGAAGAAGCCGGGAATATGGCGCTGGCTTATAAAGGCTGGGCATGCACAGGTCGACGTAACTACTCCACGCATGTGCGTAGATCACATGGCTACGTTGTGTGCTTACATAACCATGCAAAGTCACGAATCCTGGTCACGCGAGACGCCTTGACCCGGAAATGGCTATTTTGACCTGGAACTGGCTAGGCGGAAGTGTCCAGGTCTGCCGGGCATATGCAAACACACCCAACCGTGGGGGCGTGTTGTG